GCGTGAGTAATTTTATAAATTAATTTTACAAATAAAGTAGTCAGTGAATTGGCCTCGTCACGAAGTTATAGTTAAACAGAGGAACTTAACAATAGAAGGAATATTTGAAAAAAGTGATTCGTCATATTTATATGTATTCGTCAGTAAGCGATCGAAAATTATTCACACTTCCTTAAAGAAGCGTCTACTGCCTCAAACTTGTTGAAAATGTTACTATTAATAATCATTGACTGATCATCAGAAGGAGAAGAAAATTAAAGTTACGTGAAAGCTTCTCATGTTCCTACATTCTAGCTAACAATATATTTTAATAACAGAAACTCAACTTCATTTTCTAAGAAGATAAAATCGAAAAAGCAGTCTAGTCGATAGAAATTCTTGATGAAAACTTCAAAAGCTATTTTTTTCACACTTTTTTACTTGTAAATAAAGTATCCATTACAATGTTATATAAAAAAAAGCAAAGAATTTACTCACTGTTAACTAAGTCAAACGTCGCTAAAAAGTTTACAAAACAAACAAAATTAAGGTATTGATCTTAGAACTATAAACCCTTGATTAATGATATTATTAACAAATATTTAATTATATATTTAATAATGTTTATGTTGTATGAAATTTTATTAATACTCTCTAAGAATGCTTTTTAGAAATTTTAAAATTAAATTTTATGGAAAACACTAATGGTTTTTTTTTATTATATATACATACATACGTAAAAAAAAACTGCTAGAAAATTTTATTCTGAAGTGTGTCCAGAAAGAGAACGGTTTGTATATGAAACGAAATTATTACGATTAACTTTTAATTTGTAACTTGTATATTGAAAGTTACCAAGATAATTGTTGACACAAAGATAGAAGATATCTTACATCTGTCTAGCAACCACACCTTAAGTTCGATGAGATACATATCTTGTAATCAGATCGGTTGCATATATGTACACGGAATTTAAAGTACGTAGTATATTGTTCGAATAAATCATTTTTCACGATTATCAGAAAGTATGTCTGTACACCAAGATGAAATTGTTCTGCAAAGAAGGGAAAATGCTCGCCGTGAATTTTCGTTCGTCGACGAGGATACAATACCCATAGTGAGTATTGATCGATAATAGAAGAACTTAGGTCTTAGGTCATAGAAAATGCGAACATAGATTTACGAAAATTGGAGTATTTTTTGTCCCTAACCTTTCTTTCACTCGATAAAATATGTTAGATAACTACACGTTGAGCAATTTGGTTACACCACAAAGAAAATCGGTGCACCGATAAATCTGCATCTGTATCATTTATTTCGCATATCAGTTATTTGAACGGTTAAATTGGTCTTTATATACTTCTTTAAATAGCTTACGATTACACTTCGATATTCAAAATTATGAATCAGCAGCTTACGACAAACGAAATAGCATCGAAATATACACACTATAAGATATAGATATTAAACATATATTGTAATATGCTTTTGGGAAAAGCTGTGAAATGTTTGTAGGGTGAAGAATATGTTGTAAAATAAACTTCAACAATACGCACACGTATCAATGTGCTCCATTTATTTTACTACTAATATTCCAATTTGAAATCATGGTTTTTTTACATCTGGACGTGTTTGATATTTTAGATAAAACTGTTCCGATATAATAATTAATTGTTCAAGAAAGAAACGTACGATCTTTAAACAAAATCAAAAATGAACTCAAAAACTGCACACGATGGTTGCAATGAATTTTACTTTCGTATACGTTTTCTATCATTTTGCTCTTTAATGTTGTGTACCTTCTTCATTTGTCAAAGTCTGTTAGAAAATATAGATTCTTTTTATTTGTTTCAATTAATATACAGGAAGTTCTACTATGAAATTAATGTACCGAGATGAGAATATCTATAGGTTAGAGTCTAACCGTTATACGACAATAAAAGATTTCGTAGAACGTATAACCACTTAACATTTTGTAATCATGTTATTACGAACTTTATCTTTTCGTTTATTTTTATAAATTTTGTACGCTTGTTCAAAGAGATCTTTTTATATTCAATCCACATCTTCTTGAATATAGGTGCACGAACGATCATTTCGTATTAAAATCAAGATGAACGGCTGCATCCAAAGAAAAATTGTTCTCATGGAGGCTAATGTCGAGGATTCGAATCAAAACTTTGACTAGTTTTTATGTACGCATTTCCAATATATCAAGTATACAGATTTGCGAAGTATGCAGACGTTGTATCCATAAAAATATTAAAATCTAAGCATGATCACTTCAATAGACTTCCATTGCACAATATTAGTACTCTGAAAGAATCTGATTCACGTAGTCCCTTTGGCGCAGAGGATAGCGCGTTGGACTTCTAATCCAAAGGTCGCGGGTTCGATCCCCGCAAGGGATGATGCGTTTTGCTGTCGAAACGGGAATACTCTTGATTCGATGTGCGCACATTTTTTTTGTTATATTTTTATTATTAATATTTAATCAATCAATTAGTGAATCCTACTTTTTCACACCTGCAAAATATTTAGATGATTGTTTACATTATCTTTTGTTTACATTTATCTGTTCATACTTCGTCCTCGATAGTGAAAGCATTTTTTTATTTATTTTTTAGTTGAAATATATTATACTTAGACATTCTAAAGGACAATATCATATCCGTTGGTGATGTAGGAAAAAGTATTCTGTTCCAGAATGAATCTAAACCATTTCCATTGAGGCCTCTTAAACCATCGTCGGCCATAGTAATTACAGGTTATATACCGCCAAATGTATTAAGGTGATTATATCTGGCTTAATCAAGACAACACGGTGCTTGTACATTTTAATTACTATGTAAAACATTGTAGGTTTTCAGTAAATTTATTATGCAAAACAACGGGTAATGTTGCGTTGCATTTCAATCCCCGTTTGGACAGAGGATATGTTGTACGAAATACGAAATACAAAGGAACGTGGGAGGAGGAGGAAACATGTTCTCCTGCTAGTCATTTAACCTTTCGACACAACTGTTATATACACATTTTAATATTTTGCACGACCAACGCATTTCAGGCAAACGTTTCATTAAATATCTGAGTCAGCTATAACTTTAAAAATATATATATATATATATATATATATATATATATATATCTAAAAAGGAATTATTTTTATAGATTGCGATAAATGGAGAACATTTTTGTGCGTTTTCATACAGAATGTCTTTAGATGACATAGTGAGCCTCGAAATAACTGGATCACTGGAAGACACCAGATATCGACAGCTTGAGTTATTCGTATATCCTGATTCAAAGATATGCAAATCGAGCACTTCTTTGAGTTTGAAAGCCGACAAACCGCTCATCGAGCTTCTCGTATGTTCTTTTTTATTATTTTATTATTTATTTAATAATAATTTTATTATTTATTATTTTATTATTATTTTTTTATTAAATTAAGATTTATATGTGTACTATCTGCACAG